AGGTCGAATGTCCGTGTGACAGCTCTGCACGTACCGAACTTCTTTGGCATAAGGAGGCCTTGAAACCGAACCTTCCTCTGGAGGTTGAAGGGATCAACAAGGCCTTCGAGACCAAGGAAGATTATCAGCTGAATTGAACTATTGTTCCAAGCCCAGAATACTGCCCTTGTCACAAAGGATACCGTCGATGAAGCAGTAGTGGAACCTCGGAGGTCTGAAAGATTGATAAAGAAGGCTCGGAAGTAGTAGGAGAAAGAAGGTGTAGAATACTAGTTTGGAAAATCGGCTCTATATTTTTGTAGTAAACTATAATTATTCGACAGAAGTTTCACATTAGAGACAAAGGCAGTTGGGTTGATGCATCAAAGTCGTCGTCGCGCTGGTTGTCGTCGCGCTGGTCGTCCTGTGTCGCGCCGTATATGTCGAAATGTGGCGGGTCATCGTTTAGAAAGTCGTGGAAGAGCTGGCTAGGTATACTTGTTGAACGGGATGTTGGTATTAGCTTGATGTAGATATCACCAATGGAATAGAAATTGAATAAAACGTACGGCTGTGTGGAATTGTTCTCATCGGCGTCGGGATGATGAGGATTGTGGTCGGGCGGAACTTGTGCTGAAGGGAATGGGGATGAGCTGGGGGAGCTGGAGGATGGTTGTCTGAGATCCATGGCGAGGCAGGGCGTCACGTGGGCGGTGTCCGGGTACAACCTGGAAGCTCGAGGGTGGATGACGGAATGTGTCAAAATGATAGGAAACAGCCTTCCTTTATTAAGCAATGTTTGTCTCGCACTTCCCCGAGAAAACCTCACACCTTCCCGTCTTTTACCATTCGCCCGCATTTCTCACTTTTTGATTGATGGAAAGTGTGTGTGTAACTCCACGGAAGGGGTGCTGAGGACTTCTGGGTTCCCCAGTTAGCTGGCTCAGGTTCGTGAACGGGATGTTCAAATCACTAACAGGAATAGGTGCGATTCTCACCAAATCTGTTACGGTTCTGCACACCCCATTAACGAAACCACCCACCAGTAATGCCAACGAAATCAGGTCAAAATCAGGTGAGGTGGTTGGACCACTTTTGAAATCTGACAGGTTACGGGGGCAGCGAAGGAAAACCCCCGGACTTAGGCAGCTGCAGAGCCCAGCAAGGCCAAAGAATTATTGGAACCAATCAGTGGTAGTTCTCCCAAAGACCTGAGTGCCTTGCAATTTAATGCAGGTTTGTTTGTTGTGGTTTGGTTCTTCGGCGTCTTCCTGTTCCGCAGACCTGTCCAAAGTCAGGCACGTGCATACTTTGAGTGGAGTCGGAAGCTGCCAGCTTCGGATCCTAGAGTTGTTGTTGGCTCGTCGAACGCCACCAAATTGCAGGCGTCTTCCTATTTCGCAGCCCGCCCCATATGCATCTCTCTTCAGCCAATCGACTCGTTTACGAAGGTGTTAAAAGCTACCCCGACGTACCCGCTTGTTTTCTCTATCGTGGTTCTTGCCTGCATTTGACAGGAGATCAGCGTCCGTCTTCTCAGTTGGCGCGGTGGGTAGGGTATATTGCAGCGCAAGCATACCCCTCGAAGATGGCGAAGATCTGGGCCGCCGTGTCGTGCGAACCGAGCAAGGTCAGCGGTGCGCACTGCTGGTGCTGGTGCTGCCCGTGGGGCAAGTAGCCTCGCGAATCGCTAGAGAACGTTCAGGCGCGCCGCTA